GTAAATAAAATATGTGATAAATAAGAGCAGACCATTGGCACTAGTGTAAGATGAGACTGCCTATGTGTGGAACAACAGAGCAAACCAAAGGACAATTCAAACCCAGCAGTGTTGATACCTGAAGAAGCATATTGCTCCAGATGGCTACATGTTGCATCATCCTCTCTCTGTCCCCACACTTTCTTCTTGTGTTTACTGGTTTTATGCTAGTGGGGCTAAATCTTGTTAGAATCCCAGCCTGGCTTATCTGTGCTATGCCATATGCAATGGTAAGTGTAAAAACGTGATGGTTTAAAGTTTGAATTAGGATTTGGGTGGGGGGGGGGGGGCAGTGTTTGCAGAGAGGTGTAATTTGGAAAGTTTAATGATAGGCAGTTTGAAGAAACAGGTTGAGGAAGACCTATTTCACATTTTCTCCAAACAGAAGTGACACTGACTTGCCTAATTAGTCTAGTCTCTTAAAGGGGGGGCTTTACAGAAACTTCCACCTGGAAACGTGGCTCAGCTGATCTTGTCTGTATTAGACAAAGAACTTTCTTCTCAGCTCATAGTGAAGTGGCCTGAAAAACTCCAATCTTGGTCTAGAGACTGTTAGGAGGAAAAACACGATACGAGAGGAAGGGTTTTTAACTGGTCTCTGTTTTCTTTGCATAGACTATTGGCTGAAAGATGTCCTACTGGCTCAGGAACATTTCATACCATAATCTTCCTGAACATCAAACTTTGTATTCAATCCATTTTGATCTTTTGCCCCCACCATTAATGTAAGGATTCTCAAGCTTTTTAATTATTTCAATGTTTATACTTGCCAGTTTCTTCTTTTTTTTTCTTGCTCCCGTATTATTCATTAGCCTAAATTGCTCATTTCCATCTTTTGTATTGTCCTGTACCACGACAAGCATGCAGACAGCAACTGTAGGACCTGTCAGTCTGTGTTTTCCCGAGCTGAACAAACCAAACACCGTTAGTTACTGTGGGAAGAGACTCTGTACTCCCGCATCATTTTAATGTTTTTCCTCTGTTCCTTCCCAGCATGAATTAATCCTAGAGCATGTAGGTGATGGTAAGCGACGGGCTCACTACTAGTTCTTTGTATAATGATACCCACGGTGCTGAAAATTCCATTTGCTGGAAATGCCTTGACTACTACATCCTGTATTTATTTTTTCCTTTCTTACAGCTGCATCACACAGATAATTATTCTAGAATTGACTAATTCACCTAGCCCTTTCTTCCCCTCTTGTTCCCAGGTCAGAGCAGAAATTCCTGTTGTCACCCCCTCCAATGCCTGACCTTGTCCTATTGAAGTTGATCCTAATTGTTACTTGTCAGAACATTAAAATATTCTACTCTTGATATTCCACACAGGCTGCCCAAATTCCCAACAGCAACTGTAATTCCACGTATTCCCTTCCATTTCAGCTTAATGACAATATTTAGAAAGATGTCCCCAAAATGGGGTCTTTTCTTACTACTAACTCCCTGTCGTGCAGAGCCTGCTGCAGGCTCCTCTTTAGCCCATTCCTCACCACTTCACAATTCTTCCACTAATCCCCAGCTTCCTCCTTTTGATTATTCATTTTCTGTGTGGCACTGATAAATTGCTTTACTGAAGTTCAATTACATCGCCTTTGACTGAAAAAGCTGCTAACAAAAAGCAAGAGATCTGATTAGTCTGGCACAATCTACATTTGGTGCATCTATTTTGTATTTTATCCCATGTGTCCACATCTTATCTTTTAATTTTTCTATCCGTCTGATCCTTTTGTAAGATCCTGCATACTGCTGAGGCCAAACCTTTTTTCCCCCCCTCTTTCCTCAGTGCAGACACTGCACTTCATTTTCTGCAGTAAAATTGCTGTCCTCTAATTTGACAAGCTTATTAAAAATGCTGTCTGTCAGGCTTCCAGTTTCATGAGCTGAACACCACCCCAGAACGCCAAGTAACTATTTGGTTTTGAGCCTCTAGCCCATCTCCTGCATATTTGAAGTTTTTTTTTAGTTTTGCTGCTACCTCAAATGGAGCAAATTTCACCTGTACCTTTATTCCACTACTCATTTTCATCCATATACATACTAGTCCTGATGAAAACTCAGATAAGGCATTTATGAAATATCTGAAACAGGTTTTCTTCTCAGTACCCCCATAGAGTGGCCCTCTTTTTTCCTGTTCTCTATTTCAATTACAAGATTATACAGCCTTTTAGATTTGCTTTAGCTTCCTTTATAGAGTCTAATGCAATCTGACAAAAGTGAGAGTTGTGAAAAGTCCTCCTCCTCTCATCGTTTGCCTTCCTTGACATTCGGTGCATTTACACCCTCCAGCTCATTTTTCCAGAACAAAGAAGGGGTCAGATTTTCTGCCAGCCACATTCTTTGCATCTCACTTGTGAACAAGAGCAAATGTGATAATTGCTCCAGCATGGATGAAGAGGAAAGTCAGGAAGCACGGTGAACAGAAACATGACTCAGGAAAACCCAGGCTACCCTGTGCCAGAATAGGGGCAGACTATCCCTTCTACAGATTATTCTCCCTTAGTACAACCAAGTTTCTCTCAAGTGCACACCGAGGATCAGACACCGTGTTTCACTTGTAAGGGTTTTCACATAGAAATTTCCCACTTTCCTCAGCAGTTCATTTTTTCCCTCCCTGCCACCTTAACTTCCCACATTGTCACTGACTAGAGAAGTGGAAGCAAAAGTCTTGGGAACCCACAATGAAGAGAATTCATAGCAGGTAAGACACTGCTACGCAATACAGTCTAATCTTACACAAGTCTTTTACCCAGTTTAAGGGACTGGCAAAGTTGGCGTGCAGTTGGAAAGCACTTTCCAGCTTTGTTTAGCTGTGGAAGCAAAGTCTTCTAAACTCAATCCTTCGATCCTTTTGCCTGACCTCAAAACCTTCTGATCACCAAGATTCCTCCAAACATTTTCTGATGGGAATCACACAGCCCACATGGTTCCAGTGTAAGCAAGAGGAGATTATAAACTAAAAATGCGGTGGCTAGTTTACAGAACAAAAAACCCTAAGTTTCTTACAGCTCAAAGCCTTGTAAAAGAAAATAATTGTGTAAGCTGCAATAAGACCCACCCAGACAGGCAGCAGCTTTTGACTTCCCTATTTTGTGAAGGGCATTTTCCTCTACTTCTGTTTTGCCCCATCTGCTCCCACACAAGCCGTACCACCCCAGAGTAATTGATGCTGTACAGCAGAACACTTAGGACAGGTTTGCTCTATTCTCCCTCCTTGGAGGTACAATCTCCAAATTTGTCTTGGGAAGCACATTTTAATTGAAAGACTTAGAGCTGCCCCTCCTGCAGCCCTCAAACTCCTGGAGGCAGAAGACAGGTAGCAAGAGGGAGCCCTGTGGAAGATTTACAACATTTTTCACCTCTTTGGGGATGGTGACATACTGCACAAGCAAGGAGAGCTCCCAAAACCAGAACCAGCATGAAATGCTGCAGAGCTCTGACAAAGAGATTTCATTCAAGTCTCCACTACAGCCCGTTCATATCCCACACCACTGCCTCAGGGTAGAGCAGCTCACCGCAACCCAGGCATCCAGGGCAGGGTAAGAGGGAAGCAGGCCACACTCATACCCTTCCAATTCTGAGTTGAACCTCCATATGTTTAGCACCAAAATTCACATTTCATACTTGGAATCCAACTTCCTTAAAGAACTCGGCAGTCTTAAAAACCACATCTACTTTGTGAAGTATTATATACAGCAATGTTCACAGATCAGACGCATTCTTGCCAAAATGCCATTTATTGCAGTATACCTTTACATGGCATACAGATAACCAAATGTTGCATCTTCTGTTAGAAGTCATATTTCATTTGTACCACTTAAATAACACAGAATGTCATGTTTGTTTCACAAACTGTCAATTTAGACTACCAAAATATACAGGTTTTTTCCTTTCCCCCTAGCAAGGTTGTGAGGTACAACTGAAGTTTACCACTTTATCTTCCTGTGCTTTATAAGAACCTTTTCATAGATAAACCTATCAAACAACATTTCTACATTCCTATACAAAGCAAAGAATTACAGCTGAAATTAACACCATCTGGTCATTGCATTAACCTATAAAATTCATTCAGTAAAAACAAAATAACCAAAAAATCAAAACAAAAAAAAACCCAAAGACATAATGGACTTTGCAGCTTTACTTAAAAACAGCCAGCTACACATATGCACAAGTTTTCCTTGTGCATAAAGAAGAGTTTGGAATCAAGAAGTGGTTGGTTTTTTTTTTCTTGGGTTTGCAGAGGAGGCACCAATTTTAGCTGCATAGCAGCTCAGGAGTGTTTTATACTTCATTTAAATTACACAGGTTTTTAAGTTTTACTGTTAATGTGCAACACGTACTAACTGTTGCAATATTCTCCAATCATTCCCTCTGGCTCAACAGTACAAATATTTACATCAGTTGTAAACGCTCCTCCTCCACCCCATACCTTCTGCACTGAGTGGTGAGAAACTGAACTTGCAAGAAGCTAACCAAAGGCAGAGCAGAAGTAAGGCTTGTGCAGAACACCACACTTTTCTTCTCACTCAGTTTGAGATACTCTGGAGAACTCCAGACCCTCAATGAGGCCTCAGTGCCTCGCACCTGACAGCACACTGACCACCAGCAGCTTCAGGCATCCGGACATTCCTCAGGAGGTGCTTTTCGGCCCTTACTAGTCTGACATCCCTGGAGTTGCTTCTCTCCAAAGTGCAGGAACAGCTTCTGAAGAGCCGTTCCAGAGTCGTGACAGTCAAGCACGCCAACTGTTTTATGTATTTAAGGCCATCTACACTTAGCCTTCATCAGGCTTGTTTCGATGCTATGCTTCTCTACTCCTTAGCTGCGAAGTCACGATATGCTGCTTTCTACCTTCCACCCCTGTGTGCCAAGGTATTCTGTGGCTTAGACAGCAGACCGTGTTCCGAGACAACCACTGTAAACAACGCACAGAGAGGTAGGTGCTACAACACGCCATCAGTCACCTGGCGACTACATAGTAGCGCAGGGTAAGTATTTGCAGCATGACAGCCCAGCCTAGATTCGGCACCTACGAAGAGGGAATGTCTGAGATGAGACCGCTTAGAAAAATCTATTTCTTACCTAAGCCTCGAAGGAGCAAGAGGGTAGTGGGACAGTCCAATGCTATTGGCAAAATGAACTCTCCGCTTAGTTTTGGGATCTTTGGGGTTTGTTTTGTATTAGTGTATGCACCAACTGCTTAGGAGCTGGTTCTGAGTGTGGGATAACGTTTCCAAAATATGTTATTTTAAACCACGTGACAGTCATTTGCTTACCCTGGCCCTCACACCTCATTTCACCAGAAATCATATTCAGCTTGATGTTTCATAGGCATTAAGTGCTCCAAATACGGCAGTTAGAAAGAGCTAGAGGATTGCAGTGTACCAAATGTCTGCCCAGCACAGCCATTTGTTACACTTAAAACACATCTATGAGTTAAATAGGAAGGATCCCTGCTATACAGAATTTGAGCACTGATAATTGTTTATTCTTGCTAGCCCTTTCCCTAAATATCAAGAGGTTTATACATACAGTGCTCCCTTATCTTCTCCCCACCGCCTGCCCCAGCAGTCTTTAGATAAACCAAAGTGAGTTTAGGAACTTGCAGTCCCACTTCTGTTTAAAAAAAAATAAAAAAAAAAGTTGTGCAAGAAAGCAGGGAATGTTCAATGAATCCAGATCTACTTTGTAGTTATAAAATTTCCAATGGCAAAGTGGTAAGGGCAAATAACCCAATGATCATATGGCTTAAGTTTAATGCAAAGCACACTAGGAGGTCCACGTGCAGGGAGAGAAGAGTCCAAGAAAGATGGAATAAGAAGTGTCCCAAAGATCAGCGTTTATGCATAGAATTCTTCTTGTTTGTGTGGTTTTTGGTATCCTCCATTAGACTGTTTTGGTTCGTCCAGTGAATAGCTGCCTTCGTCTTTTTTCTTCATTCTGTACAGCATAAATGCAACTAGAAACACTGCAAACACCAAGCCTACTAGTCCTCCAGCAATAACACCTAGAAGGGGGAAAAAGACACAAATTACTCTAGACGCCACACCAGATAATGCTAGTATGACTGTAAGTTCCAGACTGTTCCTTACTGCACGGTCCTTGACTTCATGACTTCCAGAAATTAATTTGCCCTTTTGCCCCCTCCCAAACCAGTCATCCTGCCATTACCAAGAGCCTGCTCATCTACATGAGGTAAACCTAGAGAAAACAGATCTCTCACCGGGGCACGCTGCAAAGCACGCAAGGCTACGTTGTTCAACTCTAGCAATTTGATCCAGGCAGCATTAGAGCAGTTTTACTGTAATTTTTGAGAGGAGCGAAAGAATAGGTTTAAACATAAAATTCCAGATAACTAGCAGTGGCTGCTTTGCTACTAGCAGATTAACATTTGCCCCTGTTAGGGTTTTGACAACACAGAATCATGAATCACCACCCTCATTTTAGAGGTCTAATGTAAAAAGTTGGCTTTCATGCTCAGAGATGTACTTGCAGAACTGCAGCTTCTGCTGCCTGGAAGACTCCTACGAGAGTCTGCTTTTACGCACTAGAAATCCAGAATATCAGGTACCTCCAAGAACTTCTTTTCTCTCCATAATTCCCGAGGCTCCTGATGCTTTGGCATTCCTCCCAGAGTCAGCCAGTACTTCTGAGTTCTGGGTGGGGACCAAATCCTCATCTTTAGTCAAGATGAAGTCTCCCTGTTGGGACATACAAGGCAGGTTATTCATGTTTCTCATCATGTCTGTTACTGGAGACTTTCCACAGCTTTGTTTTTTCTCATCTAAAACCCTCCACCAATATAAGCTATTAAATCAATCATTGTTTTTGACAAATTACCACCCTTTCCTGCAAAACCAACTTACTACATAGTACTAAAGCCATCTTCTTGGAAAGGGTGTCAAAGCTATTAGTCCTCACCGGGTCTCCAGAGCCATCTTCAGAAATGTCCTCATGTGTAGGAACAATGTCCTTTGGAGTTGTTGTCGTGGGAGTGGCAGCGAAGTCTCCCTCATGATGGATGGTAGAGTAGGGCTCAGGCACGTCTTTAGTGTCTGACGCATCAGAGCTAGGGATTTTAGGTTCGAGCTCATGGACTGTGCCTGAGGCTTCTGAAGGAGTTACATGAACCACTGAAGGAAAGTGAGTAGTGGGGCTTCTCACTGTTGTAACCGCATCATTTGCTGGTTTCTCATCAGGCGAGCCCAGGATGGGTACTTCGTCCTTCACAGCTACAACTGGCTCCTCTGTCACTACATTACTAGTTGCAGAAGGAGATACTACTTCCTTTTCAGTTCGGCTCTCAAGCCCGGGAAATGGCTGTTTGCCGAAATCCATTGGTGTTGCCAGTAATGAGAAATTAGTCGGTTCTCCTGGGATTATCCAGGTGCGAGACTGGTCAGTCAGGGGACCTGCAAAATAAAAAAGAAAAATTATCCTTGGTCAGTTTAGAGACCTATTAATAGTATCTTCAGGACGCTGGTCTAAGGAGGATGCCTAACCTGCATAGCCAATTTTCCTAACAACAGCAGTGCAGTTTGTCATTTCTTATCCTTTGCAGAGGAATAAGGAAGGGACAGACCAATGCACTATTCAGCAATACTTTGTTAGTCATCTGCTTCTCCCCAAGGCACAAGTGCTAGTCTGTTTGCGGTGTTGTGGTTTAACCTCAGTTGGCAACTGAGCATCACACAGCCGCTCGCTCACTCCCCCCGACCCTGGTGGGACGGGGGAGAGAATCGGAAGGGTAAAAGAGAAAACTTGTGGGTTGAGATAAAGACAGTTTAATAGGTAAAACAAAAGCTGCGTGTGCAAGCAAAGCAAACCAAGGAATTTATTCACTCCTTCCCATGGGCAGGCAGGCGTTCAGCCATCTCCAGGAACGCAGGGCTCCATCATGCGTAACGGTGACTTGGGAAGACAAAATGCCATCGCTCCAAACATCCTCCCTTCCTTCTTCCCCCAGCTTTATGTGCTGAGCATGACGTCATATGGTGTGGAATATCCCTTTGGTCAGTTGGGGTCAGCTGTCCCGGCTCCAGCTTCTTGTGCACCTCCTTGCTGGCAGAGTATGGGAAGCTGAAAAATCCTTGACTTAGTATAAACACTGCTTAGCAACAACTAAAACATCAGTGCGTTATCACATTATTCTCATAGTAAATCCAAAACACAGCACTGTACCAGCTACTAGGAAGAAAATGAACTCTATCCCAGCTGAAACCAGAACAGCAGACAGGTCGACAAGGGGGACGTCTGCTTTCAGTACACTGGTTGCTCAGGACGGTTATCTGACTCTTTTCCCATAAATATCTTTTATATGATTCAGAGCAGTCACCCATATACTCAACACCTTTAGTCACTGGCACATTTGGCACTGATTTCAGGGTCTTATTATTCCTGCATAATTTAATTTAAAATACAAGCATGTGGCTGGAAGGAAGCAGAAGGATACCATGCTTTAGCTTTCAATAGCTTACTCTTTCCTCGGTAGCAACCCCTCAACTTCAGCACTGAACACCAAAGGTCTCTCTCATGCAGTTTAGTAATCATTCTGATAAGACTTTCTCCCCACCCTAAAACCCCTTTATTCCACTTTTAAAAAATTATGGCCCATGGGAACTTACACGTCTGATGACAGATAAAATTTGCAGTAGATGTAGGTTGGCAGGTTGGTGTTTACACACCCTCAAATGGTATCTCCTACCAGCTTGTAAGAGAGGACAAAGGCCCTTCTTACAGTCCCTCTTCCCCACGAGTAGAGAATCACTCCAGTTTCGTAACATTCTTCATGCAATATTTCATATTAGCAGTGACATGGAGTATACCTGCTTCTGCTCTCTTTCAAGTCTCCTACAACTCATTTTCTGCTAATTGTTAGGATCTGAAGCAATACAAGATGAATAGATTAGGCTCTTTCTCTGTTCCCAACTCTCATATTCTGGGGCGGGGGTGTGTGTGATTCCTCCCTCCTGCCCCTTTAGCTTGGATGCTCATCAAGATCTCAATTGCCACATTCTGGAAGGATCAAGCACTAACAGTGCAAGTGCTAATAACTCACCTGCACCTGAACCTGAGAACGCATCGTCATCATCACCAGATGAATCAAGATCTTCAGGAGGAAGGTTCAGATTTGTAGTTTGCTTTAAAGAGAAGGGGAAAAGGTGTGTTAGCGATGAGATTACTTAAAGTTATCATGTTGCTTGCGCAGGGTCCTCTAAGGGCTCCTGAAGGTTACACAAACTTTCTTTGTTCAGATTGCATCTTCTCATCTTTCTTCATTCCATCCTCCCTCCCCAAAAGAGTAGTTCAGGTTAGTCTATTCGGCATTGGAAAGGTCAGTCTTGCTGTCTCCCTTCTCTGCGCTGCTTCCAGGCTGCACTTGCTTTGGGAAAGAAGAAAGCAAGGAAACCATTGAGAGATGCATTCTATAAGTGTGGGCACTCAGATTAAGTCCTGAGATAGAAGCCAGCCTTCCACGTAGGTGTTGTGGTTTAACCTCAGTCAGCAACTGAGCACCACACAGCTGCTTGCTCCCTCCCCCCACCCCTGGTGGGATGGGGGAGAGAATCGGAAGAAAAAAAAATAATAATAATAATAATAATAAT